GCAACTAATAATTATTTTCATGATTGATTTTGTCCGTCAGACGTCAATTGTGGAAAAAGAATATTCCAACAAAAAGTCCTACAGCCTTTAACATGACTTCAGATTCCTTATTTCTTCCAACTCACCCATCAAAGATCCTCACAAATGAGAAGTTGTAAGTTCAGTTATGATCATATTTCTGTCTACCTTCCTATCAGTTAGTAAAGTTCACCTCTAACGGTGATAAAACCTTCGTCTCTGATAAATGATTCAAACAATTTTCACGTTCAGATGAATACAACTGTATTATAGACCTACCTGAACACACTTCATGTTCTCTTGTGTAGCCATCTGTGTTTTCCTCTTTGTTTCTGTTCGTTAGGACGCAGAGGGTGTGGAGGTCATTCCTACTTTCGGTTATCTAGCTTTATGAAGGACGGTTAACACTCATACAGCTAGATAACCAAAGACAGGAACAGGCTCCGCTGGTTGATTCAGCAGCACAAGGTGAAGTCTGAAGCTTCCTGCTGGAAACAGAGACAATGATGTTGGTGTTAATGCATCGGGCCTTTAGTGTCAGGCTTCATTCAACAACAGGCACATGAGATTTACAAATGGTAACATAATTACATCCATAACTTTTCAATCAAATAGAACCAGTTCTTCATTTTAATAAATGATTATTACCTTTTGTTGTTTTGGAAAGTTAAAATGTAGGATCCACCTGCCACTCTAGGCTTCATCCACATTTTAATTAATTCACATATGGTTAATAGGCTAACTAATGAACTAACTCACTAACCTAAAAAGCTCTCGTTGCACCACTGGTGGTGTGACTTATTGTTTTTCACTGAGGTCTCTAGAACCTGTCGCTGTTTTTTAGTTTGAATCCTGCCTCCAACACTTTTCAAATAGAACCACCAATTTGACCAAAATCTATGTCCTCTGCTTTAAGAGTGAACTCAGCTCATTATATATTTTTTCATCAGGTTAGAATCACAGACTGTATAAATCTTTTCAAATCATATGGTCTTTGGTCAGGGGGCATGAGGCCTATAAGTCTTCATGCCTTGTTGAAATGTAGTCTTTTACACTCCTGCATTGAACTCAGTTGGTTTTGTCAATCTTTATGTGTCATTTTTCTTTTCAATAAATGTTGTACTTGAGTAAAACAGCCATGAATGTGTGTGTGTTAGTTTATATGTTATATCTCAAAATACCCTCACGATGAACTCACCATTCTATTGGTCAGTGCGTGTGACGTCAGGGCTTTTAATTGGGAAATAGATGCGTTGACATATGCATCACTTCTTTGTATATGTGGAGAAAAACAAATATGAGCACAACCATCACAGATGTGTATGATTCAATATATCCTGAAGACAGCAGGCCTGAGGCTCAGAGGTTGTGTGTATAGTGAATTTAAAAACAACGTGGACACATAATCGTCTCACTGCGAAGGGGAGAAGTTGCATTTATTAGCTCAGGATGTTGGAGGGTGACACAGAACAGGCCTGGAGGGAAAAGTCTTTGTCACGCGTCCAACTATACATTTACTCTCTGACAGAAATAAGAATTGAATTGTTCAAATGGATGAAATGAAGACACAATAGTTCACTGTGACTTTGTCTGTTGGTTGTGGCTTTGACAATGAATGAGAATCGGCAGAACTTAATAAATTAAATAAATACAGCAGGTCAATAACATCCAGGTCAGTGAATGAGATGCATCAACGTGTGTGTGTGACATGAGCCAGGTCTCATCAGTGTGAACTATAGTGAAGATCATTACACTCACTTTCCATCACCAGCTGAATCCTGCATCCACGGAGAAAAAAACACATCCACATGTGGAGCAGATGAGGTCGGTGCAGCGTCCTCCAGCCTCCAGATGTGCAGGTGCGCGTGGATCGGATCGATAAATCCCACCGCATCTGCCCCGAGGCTGCGTGTCCTCACGGCTGTGGAGGAGGAGGAGGAGGAGGAAGAGGAGGAAGAGGAGGAGGAGGAGAGCTCCGCGGTCAATTGCGCGTTTGTATCCGTGCGTGATCGGGAGGTTCGGCACTCGGAGATGTGCGGGGCTCCGGCGCACAGAGGAGTCTTTCCTCCGCTCTGTGTGTATGTTTTCTCCGCTGTGTCCTCGGCGGAGCCTCCGGTGGTCTCCTCTCCTCTCACCTCCTCTCTGACGGTTTTCTCTCTAAACGCCTCCTCCTCACGGCTGCGATCACGTCACACCGACGGCAAACTGCTGCCAACCAATCAGCGACATCCTCCCCGTGACTGTATTATCCTTTTTACTGATGATCTCAAATAAAGTAAAGTCACCAGAGAGGTTCGTTGAACTTTCGTTTGTTTTAGGTGAAAATCTAGAATTAAAAATAA